ATTAATCTTAAAGTCACATTCAAATTTGTGTCTCAGCAAAGTTATAAATAATTCCATGTCACAGGGGTCAAATGTAATGGTTAAAATGGAAAGCGTTAAAACTGTGAATGCCAAGGGTATGCTGTGGTTGCATAATAAATCTTTGTTGACTGAATAAGCCAGAAGAGTCTCTCCATCTCAGGTAGTATCTGTAAAGTACAACACACAGGCTGCATTCTTGAACTGCTTCGGACTATTTTATTCGCTTGAATCTTCATCTATTTAAATGACTGGGTTGCTGGACATGATGTTTCAAACTTAATTTCTGTCGATGTGCTCAGAATTTTGGTCTTTCGGTAAGGGCCTTTGTGAATTCCAGTTTCTATCCTTAGCTGAACTGGCCATCAGGGTACCCAATTAGGCTCAATCTATATGAATAACAGAACATGCTCTAAAATGCGCTAATTTAAAAGATACATTTCTAATTTTCCTCTGCTTTCTAAAATGATTCTGGTTAACTGAAAATGCCGAGTTTTCTTCAGTTAAATAAAGCTGCCTGAATATTGCATATTATAAATATGGAAGGCCACTGAAATCCTCTGAGTTGGTATCTAAGAAGGAGATACCCAAGTATTACGTTAAAATGGCATCCATTGTTTTCATGTGGGTGTGTGAAAAGTCACCAAGAGGGTGATGTGCAAAGTTGGAGAATTATAAATGGTATCGCAGGAACTAAATTTGGAATATAAAAAAGACTAACTTCAAAATCAAATTGGAATGCTCTGATATGGGGGCCTTTAGCTCATTAAGAAAGTTTCCAAACTTAAAAAAAAAATTTTTTTTAACCAATAACCTTAAAAATTTTTTTTGTTTTTGTTTTTTGTTTTTGAGATAGGGTCTCATTTTGTCACCCAGGCAGGAATGCAGTGGTGCCATCATGGCTCACTACAGCCTCGAACTCCTAGGCGCAAGTGATCCTCCTGCCTCAGCACCCCCAGGTAGCTGGGACTACAGGCACATGTCACCACGCTCAGCTAATTTTTGTATCTTTTGTAAAGATAGGTTTTGCCATGTTGCTCAGGCTGGTCTAGAACTCCTGATCTCAAGCCATCTGCCTGCCTCCGCTTCCCAAAGTGCTAGGATTACAGTCATGAACCATTGCACCTGGCCTGAAGATCTTAATTGAACCACACTTGCATTTAAAGCTAATTTTTAAAAACAGCCTTGAATACATTTTGGGTATGCACTCTACTTTCCTTTTTTAACGAGATAACCTAGGCATGATGCAGGGTGCTAGAGTTCCTACCCTCACTAAATAACAGGGAAACCTGGGTTTAGATCTTGACTCTATCATTTGTAATCCGTGCTAACTTTAAGCCACTTACTTCACCTCCCTGAAGCTCACATTGTTCTGTCTGTAAAATGGGAATACTGTCATCTGAATCAAAGGATTAAATGGGAGACTATACAGCAAATACTTAGCACATTGCCTGGCATACAATAATTGCTTTATAAAAGGTAGCAATTATTCCTTTTTCACTTCAATTGTTACTGCTTATTGTAATCTCTTTAATTTCATTCTTTAATTTTTTCTCAAGGGTATTCATTGATAATATGATAAACCTTGATAAACCTTCAGAAATTATTTACTAATTATTTACACAGAGTCTACATGGGGGAGGACAGACACAGTCCAATAATTACTAGTGCTACATATAGGAAGTATGCCATCAAACATATGACAGGGGTATTTAATTCAAGGAGGCCCTGACGAAGTGTTATTTAGACAGAGATCTGAAATATATGAATTAGCCAGGCAAAAAAGAGTGAGGCCGGCAATGGAACACATTCAACCAAGTTAAGTGTAGGAAGTTATCCTAAGGGCAAAGGAAGATACTGAGAGGGTTTCATGGAACTCTGCAATTAAAACAACTTCTGGATGCAGAGGAAAGAATGAATTTGAGAGGGTTAAGACTGAATACAGGGAGACCAGATAAGGGGTCTTGTTGAATTCCAAGCAAAAAGAGCCCACTACAAAGACAGTATTCTAGTTGGACTGGAGAGAAACAGAATCTATTTAAGAAAGTTTCATTTAGGAAGTAGAATCAATAAGAGGTGGTCATAGATTGTATGTGGGAAGGGTACTCTGGAAAGTCAATCTCAAAAATGAGAAAATGCTAAACAAAATTATGTATTTTTGTTTCATAATTATAAACTTAAAACACAGCCTATCACATATTCCTGAAGCAGTACACAAAATTAAAACTTTTAGGCCATGGGAGAACTTATTACCACCATTTGGGAGGCATGACGCATCAATCTAACTTACTGAGCAACAATGCTTTTGGTATGTTGATGGAAATTCTCAATTATATGTATCTATCAACTACCAAATAAGTTTTAGTATGTAATACATAGTTGCAAAGTAAAGAGAGAGTATGAGTATCAGTAGAAGACTTCCTTTTCCTCTGAGGCATCTTTGGTTCTTAATGGAAAAAATAATTTTCCACTTTTTTACTTTTTCCTATTCTCTGGTTTCCTATTTCTAAATAAATTAAGCAGAAGGATTTTATGAGCAAACTAAAGTATACGTAAAGTAAACTCTGGCTTTTTGATACCCTCACTAATGAGTTGTTATGGGAAAAACTATTTCACACTTCCCTGCCTTCTTAAACTGAACACACCAAGTATAATTTGTTCTTTATTGAGAACACAGGGTCTGTGCTTTAGCCAGTAAGTTACCAAGGTCTTCTGCTCCTATAAGCTGACTTCTTTCATGTAAGGTCCTGGCTTACTTATCCTTCTTATCAGTTCAAGAGTCAGTCACCTTTCGAGGAAGCTGTCCCTGACCTCCCCAATCTTCTCTCAATTCCCAAAACCCTGAACATGCCTCTATTTTACCATGAACACAGTGAACTGTAATTTCGGACCAGGCACGGTGGCTCACGCCTGTAATCCCAGCACTTTGGGAGGCCGAGGTGGGCAGATACCTTGAACCTAGGAGTTTGAGACCAGCCTGGGCAACATGGTGAAATCCCATCTCTACAAAAAAATTAGCAGGGTGTGGTGGTGCGTGCCTGTATTGCCAGCTACATGTGGAGACCGAGACGAGAGGAATCGCTTAAGCCCAAAAGGTGGAGGTTGCAGTGAGCTGAGATCGCGCCACTGTACTCCAGTCCGGGCCCCACAGAGCCAGACCCTGTCTTTAAATAAATAAATAAATAATAACTTTGGTTTACTTTTAATCTTCTTCTTAGATTGCACGCTTCTGTAGGGCAACTGCTATGACTTTTAATTCTGCATTCTTAAATGTATAGCACACTGACCCGGGGTAAATTGCTATTCTCAAGGTTTAGTGACCCGCATCCTTCCTGTTATATAAACATCTTTACATGGAGACAATTTCAGAATTGAATCCACTTTTAACACTTTACGCAGAAAACAGCTGGCTTTGCAGAGTATATGCCTGTAGCACAATGATTATCAAGATGAGGGTAGGTGGGTTGTGTGGTTTGGAAAAGCATATTCAGATAATTATATAAATGGTAAAATAAACTTTTTTTTTTTGAGACAGAGTTTCGCTCTGTCGCCAGGCAGGCGTGCAGTGGCGCGATGTCGGCTTACTGCAACCTCCGCCTCCCAGGTTCAAGCGATTCTCCTGCCTCAAGTACAGCTTGACAGTAACTTGGCTGCACGAATATGGATTTTAAAAGGTTGATAAAGAGAGTTTCACACTGCCTTTCTACACTATGTTATTACTAATTGAATCGAGTTGGAATAAACTAGTCAGACCTGTATGCACTATGAGTCAAATGGCTCAAATCAAAGGTTTGAGACGTCTCCATGAGCCAGGTGCTTGAGTTGTGTGATGTTAAGACTTCAGGTATACCGGCACACTTCATCCAGACTTGGCTCATGCAGTCCCTACAGTCTTAGAATGGAATACCATATAACACTTCTCTCCCCATCTAAATCCCAGTTAGGGTTTAAGACTCAACTTCTCCACACTCTGACCTCGTCCTGAATTCCAAGGGCAGTGAGGAGTCTATACAACAGGATATTTAATAAGTGATTACGTTCTGCCGAATTTTTTTTACTGTCTGCTTAAATCTAGCCAAAGTCTCAACAACAGTAGGGAGACAGGCTACTCAAGCGCCAGTCGAATGGAAAGGGGTTGTTAACAGCCTATTATAACCCTAACGTGGGAGCCAGGACGTCCAAACCTGGTTAACAGAGCCCACAGAGTTCATAGGGGAAGGACTGTGACAGAGTCAACGTCTTGTCTGAACAAAAAGACCCACCAACGAGTGCAAGAAGACCTCCTGGGAGGGATGGGGGGCGGGAGAGGGAATTCAAGCCTTCTTAACAACAAAAAGCAGCTTTCTTTAGCCTACTCCACTTTCCAGCTACTTAATTGCTACCCCTCCTGTGTGACGATTCCCTGCCCAAAGTAGGAAAAAAAGAGGTCCAAAAGGATATAGCATCAACTTTGCCCTCTGACCTAGGAGCGAAGACTCACCAGTTTCATAATGGACTTTTGGTGGTTCAATAGCAGTCACTGAACTCCTCAAACGCAGGAAGCGTCTTCCGGTGCAATCTCCGCCACCTGCCGCCCAGAGCATCGCGGGACTTGCAGTCTTTCATTCTCACGTCCCTTCCAGGGGAATCATAGGAAATGTAGTCTCCCCTCCAGGCACCATGGGAACTGTGGTCGCCTTTCCTTTTCCTCCCTTTCCTCTGCGGACGCCTCCTTCCGTCAGCTCAAATTCATCCCCGCCGCCAATGCATCCTCCCTCTCCACCCCAGCATGATATCATGTCCCCATTACGCGCCTGGAGCCCATGGTGTTCTGGGATGTGTAGTCCCGACGGCTCCGGGTCCCCTTTCCCCTCCTCCCAAAGGGAAGGCGGATGGGCACGGGGTTTGCCGGGAGTTGTAGTTCTCTTGGGCCTCTAGGCGCCGGGCTCTGCGCTTTTACTCGGGGGAGGCAAGAACTACAACTCCCAGGGACGCCGGGCGGCAGCAGGTGGGAGCGGGGCTGTTGATATCAATATGGCGGTTGTCAGCCAGACAAAGACAGTCAGTCTGATGTGATTGAGACAAGGGAGGTTTTTCAGGGGGAGACTGGGAGATAGGGGCCTCCCCTCCCCCTTCTCCTCTTCCTGCGCCGGCCTCAACCCCTCCCCAGTCCCCTCCCGACGGGCGCCCCACGCGGAAGACACCCCTCCCCCTCCCGCTTTCCCTCCTCCCTACCTCAGCCCTTCGTACTGGGACGTTGGGGAGGGGGCTCTGCCGGGCGGAGAGAACTCAGCGAGGATTCTGAGGTGAGTCGAGCGGTTTTGAAGCCGGACAACCTCAAGTCTCTTTCCTCACTTCTTTCTCTTCATTTAAAACAATTTTTTTTGGAGGGGTTTTGGGGAGGAAGTGAGCGGACGCTGGGGATGGGTCTCGTTAGCGGCCGGATTGAGAGGAGGGAGGAAGCAGGGGGCTTCCGAGTGGGTGATCCAGACGCGGGCTGTGGGGTGGGGCAGTTCGTGGGGGCCGGTCCTGGAAAGGCGTCGACTGCCCCCCAACTCTTCTGGTTTCCTCTGCTATGAGCGGAAGGTTTGAATCCTGGAGGTGGGGTCTCTGGTGTGGAGTTCGAGAAACTGTGAGGTGATTTGCAGGTGTGTTGGTTTGTTTGGGGTGTGGAAGTGTGTTTAAACTGTGTGACGTGTACTTGTGTGCTCTGCTTGTTTTGGAGCGGTGTCTGTAGATGAGAAGTTAGACAGCGCGAGTCCTCGCTCGCTCTGGGCCTGGGCTGAGGGGCGGGCGTGAGGTCCTGGTGCTGGGCATTTGGGCTGGCGACGTGGTGCGGGGCAGCCGGGCTCAGCAACTCGCTCGTGTCCCGTTGCCCGCTCACACTCCGCCACTCGCCTCCGCCCCCTCCCCTGGACGAATCTCCACCCCAAACTCCAGCCACGAGAACTGTAGAGATGGTGTGATGTGGAGATGGGTTTTTTGCATCCTCAAGTCGGTAGATAGGTGGGAAAGGAAAAGTGTTTCTTAATATTTTATTCCGGAACCGTGTTTTGGTTACACTATTGGGGCTACTTTGAAAGGCGTCCTCCACCCACCTTCACCCCGAAACAGTAGGTAGAAGTATCTTGTCTTCCTGTGAATTAGATGAATAATTGCTGAAGATTCGGGGGGGCCTGGGGTGGGGGTCGGGAGTGCTGGATTGTGTACGCGTCTGTGTATGTCTACTAAAGAGACGGAATGTCTGCTGTGTATCTTGAGATAGGGCGACTTATTTTCGTAGTAGGAAGAACTATTGGAAATTATTTGCGGGAGAGGGGGTGCGCGGAAAGGCGCTGCTTGTATTTTTCTTCTACTCCACCCTGTTCTGTCTTGCATTTGCCTGAAAGCTGGTGGAATGGAACAGTGAAGAAGCATTGGGTGAGTAAAGGGAAGAATGCAGTTGGCATTAAAGATAACACTGTGTAAAGTTGAATGGTATAAAGTGATTACTGCTTTTATTTACACTGAAGCTTAAAAAAAATCACCCATGTATCATATAGGGTAGAGTGATGTGACTAGCTCATTTCTCTGGGATCTTGCAGGTATAGAAACCTCTGGCTTCCCTCTTCCTTCCTTCCCTCTTCCTTCCTTCCTATCCTCCCTCCTTCCTTCCTTAAGTCCTTCCTTTCTTTCTTGGCTTAGTACGACATTTCTCGTTCTGATGGACATAATACCGCCTGTGTCTTTTTATTTAGTTTGTGCTAATATGGTTGTGCTTTTTGTGGTTTTACCATAAAATGCATAATTAAATGCATTTATTATTTTGCATTTATGCTGCAGGTAATTATCACATCAGGATTGCAGTGCTTTGCATTAAACTTATTTTAAAATTGTACAATTAAGTTGCTTGATTTAGTTGAATTATGTTTCTAAGTCAAAGTTGGGAAATTTGAATTCTAAATTTTTTTCAAATTTCAATTAGAGTTAAAAAGAAAAGGATTGCAACATATTTTTCACAGTTTTTAATATTTAATAACACACTAGAAGAATTTAAGATCACATATTTTGTACTTCCTTATTAAGTTCTTCAGTAATTTTTATGTGACAATTTTTTTAGTGTAACGGATTTTTAAAATAAAGAAATTGGCATAATTTCTATTTCAACTGTTGAGAGTTGAATATATTCCTCAAACTTATCAATTCTTGAATCTGCCACCTGTCATCAGTAAGGGACCTTTAGATTCTATGATAACTGAAAACCACATTGATAGTGTATAATTTTATGGTATGTCCTCTAACCATTTATTTGAAATTTTTGCTGTTGATCATTCACACAGATAAGGGGGACTGAAAGAATGAGGTAGCATGTATACTTCAATTGACCTGAATAGAAAAAAACTGTGGTTTCTAAGTCTTCAGATGTAGAATATACAATATGTTGATTCCAAACTAAGCCATTAGTTTGTGATAGACCAGGATTTTCAGAATCATTTGTTTTAAGCTTGTGTCTTAACTTGAAACACTACTTTGCAAAAGCTGGAGAAAAATCCTACTTAACTACTTAACGGAGTGTTTTGTTTTATTTTTCTGAAGCTTATTATTATAGTCATGGAGGTTTTTAAAAATGTTTAATAGTTATTTTAGAAGTAAAAAACCTACATGTTTGTTAATATTTTGAATTAGAAAAGCATGAGTATTTTCTCTTCCATCCACCCTTACCTCAAAATTTCTTTTTGTTTTGTCCATGGAAGTACAAAGTTATTTACTGGGAAAAGCGTTCATTAAACTTTTTCTGACTACTAGTGGGATCAAAATCAGCACGTGTAAACCAAATATATTCCTAGCATTCATTGGGGGTGATTCCGTTGCATTTTAAGTACTGGGCATTAAAATGATGTAAAGCCTTTACTGCAGGTTAAAGCATAAAACGTTCTCAGCATGTGGGAGTCATATGGTCTACGAATAAAGTAGAAAACCAGGGCATTGGTGCTTGTCCAGCTTAAAATTTCATCGCGTAACTGTGAAAGACACTTTTATTTTAATGTGATTGCTTCTAAAGATGTTGCTTGTATTATGGGAAGTTGAAAATCTAAGCTACTTTTAACTAATCTGTTGCTAGTTTAGTGTACTGCATTTAGTGAACACTATTTATGATCACAAATATGCATCAAGGAAAGGAGCCTTTAGCTGGAAGTTGAATGCCTTTAGTGAGGCTTCGTTTTCACTGCTGTACGAACAGATTTCAGTCTTCTAGCCCAAATCCTCAGTTAAAACATTGCTAATAGAAACTTAATAGCTCAGTGTTGGTAAGTTACAAAATATGTGGCAACAAATCTGTCATTGTTACATCATTTAAAAAATAGAAGCAACCAGCTTATGGCAATTTTTGTGGCAAGTGTTGATTGAAATTCTATTGTTTGTTTCATACATATTGAATACATTGGGAATATTTAGGCTTAATATGTGCATTTTGAGTCTCCTGTACACTGTATTCAGTACATCCCACATTTAGTGTTTCAGGCAGCTACCATGTAATTTGCTTTTGTTCTTTTCATTGTAGCTCTTCTTTTTGTATACAGCTCTTTAAACCTGAATTATTTCTCTTGGGAATTAGGTATTTATGTAGAATGTTGTCATAAGTGAAAGTTGACGTACTACTCAACTTTTTAAATACATGAACATTTATAGATAAACCGAATAGTGCTCATTGAAAATGTGTTGGTTTCGTTTGTTTTGTGAACCTGCATTATTTAGTTCTTTGGCTTCTGGAATTAATTTTGTAGCTCACTTTGCTATTCTTTGGCTAGATTTTTCTGTTAACGGTTGGCTTTTACTTCTCACTTTAGTAGAACTGTAATTTATTAAAATACTGTTGTGAGTGAAAAGCATGGCTTGTCTAGAGTGTTATATATGTACACCCACACATGCACTCACACATAAAATACCTTTATGTTTGTTTATTTATGAAATTGGTATATATCTATCAGACCTGCCTCCCATAAGAAAGAATCTGAGCCACAAATAGCAGGAGACCTTGAACTTTGAGTGAAGCTAGAAACCAAAGAGTAACCAGCACATGTTGTCCACATTATAGAAGCTAAGGAGATTTTCAGTGTCATTCCAAGCCATTATTTTCACAGATTTTGTTAAAATATAGTTCTCTCAAAATGGAAGCTATCGATATTGAAAGTTTTCTCAAAATACTACTAAGTAACACATAGCATGGATTCCTAGGTGCAGCTATTCCCCCACATTGCCCTTACTGAATTTAGGGCCCATGATAGGTACAGAGTAAAGATTTTTCCATGGGATTATTTGATGTAAAACTTTTAGTTGCAGTGTATTCAAATATAATCCAGTGCTTTAGATAATTTGTTTTCCTTGTCCTTAGATGAAACAAGTTGGAAATTTACTATAACATTGTTTTGGACACTTTCCAAGAGCATTTAGCTCCTGGAAGAGCCCTGGCTTTAGCATGGTTTTTACCCTCATAGTGATAATAAGGTTGAAGTTACATTAAGTTTTTCCAGTGGCTATTATAATCTTAATGCAATATTTGACAGCTTCTTAGGCTATAGTGTTTTTTTTTTAACATTTACAAAAAAAAAAGGTAACAATAGTCTGATTTTAGCTTTGAAGTGATCAATTATTTTAACTTTTTCGCCCTTAAAATGGGTGGCACTAGACTCCTTCCTGTTAAGTGGTAAAATGATTCTAATTCAGTCAAAGGGCACTAGGTTTTTCTTAGAGTTTGGATTGTGATAAAAAATGTTTACTAAATTCCACATGCTGAATATACTCTCTGGCTGCTTCTTTGTTTATCTTATGTCCAGAGATGGTCCACATGTGGTGTATTGAAAATATTAGTAGCCTCATTACTGTATACATATTAAATAGTGTGGAGTTGCCAAGTGGCAGTAACTTTAATTTGTATCTAGTCACAATTTTTATAGCAAGAAAGTGAAATGCTGTGGTTACTGCTGAAACAGGGATGACTTAAGACTGAACTGATTTAAGATTTTGATAATTTAGGCTGGGCATGGTGGCTCATAGCTGTCATCCCAGCACTTTGGGAGGCCAAGGCGGGCGGATCACCTGAGGTCAGGAATTCGAGACCAGCCTGGCAAACATGGCAAAACCTTGTCTCTACTAAAAAGACAAAAATTAGCTGGGTGTGGTGGTGCATGCCTGTAATCCCAGCTACTCGGGAGGCTGAGGCAGGAAAATCGCTTGAACCTGGGAGGTGGAGGTTGTAGTGTGCTGAGATTGCGCCACTGCACTCCAGCCTGGGCGACAGAGCGAGACTCAGTCTCAAAAAAAAAAA